ATGCTCACATTGCATTTAAGCAAGAGTGGTAGAAAGCAAAAAGCCTCGATGGATTTGTTGGAATTTCAACTTATATATATATTTGCTTAAGTTATAAATGCGACTTATAAAAATCTTGTTCAATATAAATGTAAAAAACGGTAATTAACTTTAAATGATTCACAATTAAATAATTCATTAATATTTTACTAATATTCATATAATGTTACTTCTATGCATTTACTGATTTATAATTACAGATATTTATTAATATAATGTATTTTATTTTGTATGTTATTTTATATTTATTATGTTCAACTGCATTTTGTGTGTATTTATTATTTAAACCTGATACCATAAACATCAGCTACATTGATATAATTGACATTTATGTTATCAGTTTAAATGATAAAAATAATAATTATTAATGAAACATTAATGATTCGAATATTTGAGAAAACAAAAAAGTTATAAAGAAAAATAATGAATTTCTTGAATAAAGTACTTCTTAATTTAAAATCAGTGCACGCGCACATTAATAGGAAGATTTTCACTCACATACCTTTGATGATGATTTAAGTATTTTTTTCGAAATTGCAATAAAAAGTGTTATGGATATTTCGTCACATGCTCATTATATATGAAGAATCACATATTAGAAAGTCAATAAAATTTTAATGTGACAATTAATCCAATTAGGATAAAACCACTAGATGTGAATCAGGCACTAATTTCCGGATCACTTTTGATATTAAAATAATTATAATATTTTTTATTAAATGGTACATATCACAAGATTCTTTAGCATTAGTTTTATTTTTTTCAAGTGTCAATTGAATTTAATTTCATAGGAATAGCGCTACACATTTTTTTGTTGTTAACCAATTATGTGTAAGGTTAATTAACGTATGCGACTTTAAAATTCAAACTATTCATTCAAAGTGTAATATCATAAGAATTTATGGCTTTTATAGTTAGGTAATAATTAGGTTTCATGAAAAAAATTAACATTATTTTCAGTTGAAATTAATCCAGACAGCAAAATGCTAGCAATATGCCAGCAGCACGCCAACAGTATAGCTTGATCAGACATTATGCAGATATTAAACTGCTGCTTCCTCATTAAGCTTACTTTCTAACAGCATAATCTGCTAACATGAAACGATGGTAGAAATGCAATAAAAATCGAGCATTCTTTGTTACAAATACCGTGACAGCAAATACGTAGCAAATATTGGCCAAAGTTTACTATATCAAATATTAATAGCAGAAAGACAGCAGAAATTAAGCATAATCTAATGTCATAGTGACAACGAAATCGCGGCAAAGCTACAGCATAATTTATTATATTAAATATAGTCAGCAAAACTACAGCAAAAATCGAGTATAGCCTGCCGTCACGACGTGACTGCAGAAAACACGCATAATAAATAAATAAAATTTATATTATACATTTAACTTTTATTAACTAAATGCATTAATTGATTAAAGAAGTACTTAATCAGAAGTATTTAATCAGAATAAGATTTTGCTAAATAGAAATTGTATTATTTAATTTTTTTGTATCTTAATAAAGTAGTGTTAATAAATGAATAATTTTTCATATTGAGAGAATTGTTGCTCGGTTTAAAAAAAATCAATTTAATATTCAGAATTCTCTATAGGAATTATGTCAGAAATTAAACCGATAAGAAAATATTACACATTTTTATTTTCACTAACCGCATGTAGTCTTTATATTTTTTTAAGATTAATTTGGGAAATTTGGGGAGATTGATTGCGTTAAAAGTCCGACAACCATATCGACACGCAATTATCATTTCTGAAATTAATTCATTTATATGAATATATATATTAGTTTAACATCTCAATATTCAAACCGTAGTGGCGCTTCGTATTTAAAGTAATGTTATTTAACATAAACAGTCTTGTTTCAAATCTTATAGTCTTTATATTTGCCCGTGATAGAAATTTAAATACGAGATAAAAAATATTGATAGATAGATACCGATTGCCTATCGGTAAACGGGAAAACTATGGTACGATATAACATTTGACGACAGATTATACATGATTTCTACTTTTTTCTTTCAATAATTAATAAAGTAAATCGCGACATACATATGCCGCGTTTTAAGCAGTCACATCGTGATAGATTATCTTCGATAGATTATCTTCGATTTTTGCTGTGTATTTGATGTCAGTATTTGATATAATAAGTCGTGCGATATTCTTGCTGCGTTACCGTTCTCACAATGTGATAGATTTCTGAGTACATTTTGCTAATTTAACATGACAAACCTAGCTTTAGTTTATTTTCTGTTTATAGTGTACCAACATACAAGTATAATGTTTGAATTTTGTTCTATTTATGCTGAATTATTGTATACAATTTTTGTAGCATTTTTTTTAAGTATGTTATGACGTATTGTCTGAAGAATTTTTGCTGTATTTTTGTTAACGCTATTGAAATGACATCGTGCTCAATTGCTGCCTGACTTTTTCCAACATAATATGTAGCATAAATTTGCAATGCGTGCTTTTGGCACGCATATTTAGTCTAGCTATTTGGGTAAATGTGTTCGCGGGTGTTGTTTAATCACTATGCTATAACAATATTTTTATTGCGTAAATTTATTATAAAAATGTTTAAAAATTTGTCAAATCTTACAAATAATCCCGAAAAGATTTATTTGTTTTAAGTATCAAAATAGAATATAAAATAGTATACAAAAAGTGTTACTATTCATAATTTAATTGTTTTGCTAAACGTTTAATTTTCATAAATTTTTTAAAAATTATCATTGATTTTTAATTGTCATTAATTTTAAATAAACTTGAATTTGTTATAATTGCATCATTATCCGTAATTAGAACTAGATGTGGATCATCAATTATAATTTCGTTATATATATATTACGATATGCATGCACAATCATTTTTATTCTTATAAAGTGTAGTAATGCCATCAGAATAACGCATTTAGTGAAATGATTTGCAATTAGTACATGGGATCTAATTGTTAACAACTGTTACTGCTTTATTTAAGGGGGAACATCACTGTGACAGCCGAAAAAAGAAGAATATCTTTGTGGATTTTTTTTTGTAAAAACTAATAGCTTGTGTAAATTATTGTCTTTATACAATTAGTACACATATTTACAAAGTACATATATTTACGAAGTTATTACAAAAAATTCATTAAACAATATTAATACGAGTATTTCTAGTCTCTTAGTGCTCATTGATGTGCACCTCGTCTGGAAAAACATGGGTGCACGGGTGCTCATGCTGTGTCTGAACGGGAGATTTAAAATAAAATTTTTTGTTTTAAAATAGGGAGAGTCCGGAGTCAATTGACTATAAGGGTAAGTAGAATAATCGAGGCTACATTAAAAACACGCGAGACACGCATAAACGTGTCTGAGCACGCAGCAATGACTGCCGCTGAGTCTGCTGTAACATCTTGTTGCGAACACATTTATGACAGAAGTTATGCCACAATTTTAAAAAATCGTACACCTAAATAAATATTTTTATTCTTAAAGTTTTTGTTTTACAGTCGTATATGATTGTCTGAGATATTTAATTTCTGTTTAGATAGTAAGTGTAGCTCTTACTTAATAAAGTCCAACAGATTTTTTTTGTTTATGTGTCTTTTTTATCATATATTGTTAATGTTTTTAAAAAATGAACGGATGGGGATAGCAGACTAACCACAGCATGGAACTATATGACTCATTTAGTGACAATTCTTAAAGTACTAACTCAAAATTTTATTCCTTTAAACAGATTTACCTCAGTGGTAAATGTTATAAGTTTAGTTCCCTCCCCATGTCCATCTCGAAAACTAGGCTCATTTGACGTGTTTTTGCACGAAATGAACAAATTTTGCAAAAGGAAGCATTGTTTTGCTCTGCGAAATGAATGTTTGTTTAAAATATAAATTTTATAAAAGTTTTATTAATATGTAGCCAAAGATGTAGCTTAAAATACATTAATCTTTATTTTAATTATTTTAGCCAAATTATTAAAATAAAGCCCCTCCCCCGGTCCCAGGGCTAGTTGAATCAGATGGAATGCATTACAAAAATGCATTTTTTTTCATATTAATTATTTCATATTAATCAGTTTCCCCTTATTATTAAAATATTATTAGGTAGTCAAATGTATGTAGTAACTGGTATAGAATTCATTTTTTCAATAAGTCTCTTAATTTCGTCTGTAAAAATTCGAAACTGAAAAATTAGTTTATGCATCTGATCATGTGCTACTCCATCATATTTATAATACTATCGTTCTGTTACGAATTTCAACATAATATTTTAGGGACATATTAGGGACATAAGACTCTAAACATTACAAAAATGCAAAAAACAAAAAATCGATTTTTTGAATCCGTCACAGTGATGTTCCCCCTTAATTCAAATTAAACAATATAAAACGATAAAATGAAATAAAATGGAATAAAATCATTCATAACGCATTCTTTATCAATCATGACTATTAAATGTTTTATTAATTGTTTGATATTGTTCTGGATAAAAAAAAAAGATTTTTTTTAAAGAGTGATCTACAACTAGCGGTTTTACCCTGTATGTAATATGTTATCAATCCTATATCATCATAGCTTTATAGAACATATTAATTAATTAATTAAATAATTTAAGTGCCATGGTTTTTAATTGGATAAAAATTAGTTTATTTATAAATCCAAATAATTGTTATATTATTAAACTCTTTCATTATTATTTACATATACTATCTCAAATATTTAAAAAAATTGATTATATTGATGGTTCGGTATCTATTTTTCCAACTGTACAATTACACAATTGTCATTTTTAGCTCAAATACAATTAAGCAATAGCAACCGTAAATTAGAGCATATACAAAGCATTTATTATTCATGTTGCTAATATACCATAACAGCGTGTTATATTTAATTTATATAGTTTATAATTAATGTGTTATTTAAATTATATATATAATTATATACTAAACTAAACTATAGACGTTACCAAATTTAATTTTCCTATTTTCTCCAACATGATGTCCATTTTCAATTTCCTCTTCAAAATAAATGTTTTCTTCTGAATCGAGAATCAAGACATCTCATCTCGGATATACATTCGAAAGTTGCTTGCTTCCTACGTAAGACTGATCAATATTTGCGATTACATTATTGAATTACATTGTGTCTGTAGAGTTTAAACTCAACACTTAAAATTAATTTTACTCTAACTATTAAGATTTCATTTTGCTGAAATAGTAGAGACTGGGGATAGTTGTTAGAAAAACAATTCTTAGAAATATACATGTCTTTCTTTAATTATGACAAATACGTTTATTTCTTTTAATATTTTGTAATTGTAATTATGTAATTGTAATTGTAACGTAACAAATATTTGAATTTATGGTACTATTTGCAAAAAGGTATAATTTTAGACTATTTATGATTAAGATATCAAAATCCGAATTAATACATCTTGCTTCGATTTAGGGCAAAATGAAGCAAAACTAGGGAAAGTTGTAACATATTTTAAAAACAAATTATCTGTTCTAAAACATAAATTGACTGTTTTAAAAAACACAAATTCAGTGCTTTAAATTCTATTCTAAAACAGAAATCTTCTTATATTGTATTATTGTTTTTAAATCAATAAATTTATTATTAAAAAGCAGTGAATTTGTGTTTTAGAGCAGAAAATTTGTTTCGAAGCAGTGAATTCGTTTTTAAAATAGTAAATTTGTGTTTCACAACAGATAATTTGTTTTTAAATCAGTTTGTGTTTATAAAGCAGTGAATAATATCTATTACAATAAGAAATACAACACATTCGCGGCCATAGAGCATGAAAATGTGACCTCATCGCGTACTTGCATTGCAGTATATTTCGTGTGACAGATTTCCTAACCTGAATAGTCGTCAACTTAAAATATTCATTTCACGAATCAGAGCGACATTTTTTTCTTGTCAAATCTTGATTTTTATACGAAAATGCATAAACATTCAGTGCATTTTTTATTAAAATTTGAGGTGAGCCGGCTCTTCTTAACATTTACCGTTTATTATAATGGTGTTACAATGTATCCTGGCGATGTGGTACTTTTAACCCCAAATCGATGTTGTCAATATTTACATAAATATATTTAAAATCACTTAAAGATATGCAAATAAAAAAAACATGCACATAGTTTGAGAAAACATATTTTAATTAATAAAATGAAAACATGATAAAAAGCATTTTATTTGAAAGTTTAAAGCAAAAAAGTACATCGTAAATTTACATTTACATGGCTTATCTGAGCATATAACTACCCTACATATAATTTCTTTTACATGCGGCGCACGCGCGATTGATGTCATCAAGCAAACGCAGGCCTTGGTATCGACTATTTTTGTTCTTCATATGATTATCTTATTTTTTATCATTAAAAAAAACGCATTGTTACTACCTCCGTTACAACTGTCCCCAGTCTCCCCTAAAGATCGATAGAAATTTATTGTTTTACTATTTTTGTTTGCGGATTGAGATTATACGCAGCATTGAAGCTGTATGTTTTTTAAATCAATTCATGTTTAAATCAGTCCTCTCCTTTCACTCTTATAATCGGAGATTTATGATTCTTCTTTATCAATCAATGTGTTTTTAAATTAAATTCTTGCTTTAAAAAATAACTAGTTAAAAAAAAATTATTTAAAGATATTAAGTCAATCTTTAAATTGCAATTTTGACCGCAATTTCATGTAATTATAAAAATTGGATACATCTAAAATATTTAATTAATCATTTATTAGTTATACAATTTTCCTAACTTACACAAATTTTTACTAAATTTTATATTAAAGTTTTTTTTTATTTTCAGTAATATTTAAAACATCATATCGATATTTAAACACGATGTTTAACACTTAAAAATATATCTTCATAATGACAGTTTATATAAACTTTAGTATGTAATTAAGATTAAGTTTTATAACAATAAAGTTAAATTAGTTGTAAAAAAATTATATTATTTATTATTATTATTATTTATAATTTGTTTATTATTAAACTTAATTATTATTATAAAGTCATTTTACATATTAGGTATATATTGGTTTACATATATTGTTTAGTCTTTGTTATCAGATTATTTTATAAAAATATATTTCAAGGTTTTGTTTCACTACAGAGAAAGATTCTTACAAATGTTAATCAATTTGTAACAAAATCTGCCTTTCATATTTCTTATCTTTGATTATTCTTTTAATGTCCAAGATATATCTGAGATCTACCTTCAAGTTGTAACAAAATTATCTTTGTAATTTATTATTAAAATTTTAGCTTTTATTCCAAAAGATAATTAATATATTGATATATTAATAAAATTGTAGCTTTTATCACTTTTCATTCAATTTGTTGTTTATGTTTTATGATCTTCAGAAAGAAGTACCTTTTGAAGTTTCATGAGAAGTGTTTCGTTGATTTCCTTCATTTATCTCTGACAATTCAATTTAATTCTCGTTGAGAAGAATAAAATGTTTAACAGCACAACGTTCCCAACGTAAATCCTTCACTTGTCAAAATATTTTGTATTTATAGAATTATTAAAAAATTCTACAATTTTTTTAAAAGAACAATGATGATTGAAAATTCTATCATGAATATCGTAAACCGACTTTTCTGTTCGTTTCAATCGAGACAGCGGACGACCTTCTCCGCGGAACGTTCTTGCACGCGATTGTAGGTTGAACTGCCAAGTGAAAACACAACATCTCTCAACCTGCACAGGTGCACATAGGGGTCCCCCAATCGGGCCCTGGAAAGAAGGGGGGCCTACTTGCGCGCTAGGATTTCTTTGCCACGAATACGCCGATCGGCGCAGGCCTGATGTAAAACCTGGAATATTATTTGTAATTCACATCACAGAAATCGAATTTGCGTTCAGAATAAATATGATTGTTAGCTGGTGAACGAGTACGAAAAAAATCGAATTAAAAGTTACAAATTTGGTCAAAGAACCATCTTGTTTTAATATTGGGTCGGGGAAAAAGTTTCTTCGTATTTTTAAAAATTTTTTGCAAAAGGTTTTTCATTTGTTGCGAAATTTTTGTTACAATTATAGCATTCGCTAGCAAAATTTCAGCTTTAAGAATGTTTTTTAAATTTCGGTATGATGATTTTAATTGGAATTATAAGCAAAGTTAGAATGCTTCTTTATTTAATTCGCGAATAACTCAGGAACAAAAAAATCATAGGAACATTAAAAAAAAACATGATTTTGTAGGGAAAACTTCAAGCTTTCACGATAGGTAGTCGAAAATTTTTGTAAACTTTTTTTGGGCACGTGAGAGACATTTTTGACGAAGATATTGTATTATATAATATATACAATTTTGAATTAAAAAATACGAAGAGACTTTTTCCCCGATGTTTTTAATAAAATTTTCAATATTTTAGTTAAAAAGTATATATTTTTATTCTAAAAAACGAAAACTTTATGTTTCCTTTAATGCTTGTTTTCTATACATTTTCTGTACTTTTTACATTGAATTTATTCATAAAGATTATCATTGTTTTTGTTGGGAATATTTCTTTATCAAAAAATTTTCATTAAAAAATAAAATAATTCTTGGGTTCATAAGTTGATTTGGAGTTGATTTTTAGGATCGTTTGATACCTACTAGATTTTTCTATTGATCTTCATTTATCAATAACTTTGATAAAAACGTCGATTTTCTCGATGCAGCGTTGATAAAATGTTGATCTTCTTTGAAAATTAATAGAAAATGTAGTCGATATCAAAATCAATAGATATTGATTTGATTTCGATTTATGAATTAAGATTATTAAATAAAATTTTAGATTCATGTTTAGATTGCTTTTATCGATAAATACGCATTTCTACTTTTAAAATTATATAGTAATTTTAACGTAAAACTATATGATAAAAGCATGATACTAAATAAAATTTATATTATATAAAATTTCAAATAAAATAATAGCATTTAAATATACGATTAGAAAATCTATTAGGTTAGCATGTGAGTTGATGATAAATAATTATCAGAATATTCAGAAGAGTTCATCACTGATTAACATACTTAAACATGCAAAAGCAAACAAAAAGACAAAGTTTTTGAAATTATCAGATAGTCCACCATATGTATATTGTGCATACTGTGAGTGAATTTCTTAGATCATCGATTCCAAATCATATTCTTTGTTTTTTTTTTGTTATGATTCATTGTGTCTAGAGACATTGTATATTGAGACTAGTCTGGACATTAGCGGTTTTATCATAATCCTACGAGACAGAAGGATATATAATTTCTCCTTGTATACAGTGACGTGCAAAAGTTTGCGGCCAGTGACATTTTTACTCTAAAAAAAATTTTAATCATTCTCGAATGTAGTAGAAGATTTCGTTAGCCACATCTTGTACTAACATCACAATAATGATTAAAATTTTATCAGGCTTTTTTTCATAAATTAGAATACAAAATGTCACCAGTCGGAAACTTTTGCACGCCACTGTATATATACTATCTCTTTAACTTACATATTTCACTCTATAACTTTAATTAAGATTGTAGAGTGGGACAGTGCCAGTTAGAATGTAATACAAAGAAATTATATATATATCTTTCTCTCTCGTAGGATTTTATCAAAATCGCTCGTGACCAGACTCCCTGATATAATAGGAGCTTTTGTTATATTGTGTAATTATCTGTATATCTTATGTAATCGTTGATCTGGCATATGATGGAAAATCTTTGCTCGTCCTGTAGTTGTAGCCTTGCCAAGCGGAATCCACTCTTGTCTTTTCATCGCTGATGCGCGACGACTGGTTTTTCAGGAGGAAAAATAAAGCGCATGCATACCGTCGGTATATTTTCCCTTCCTTCTTGTACATGTACTTTTATGCTTTCCTCTTGCATAACTGAGAGATGAAAAAGAGATAGTTCCTTTTATCAAACCGTCTTAAAGATAATTCTCACATATATTGCGAGAATTGCATCTTGACAATCGCAATTTGATTAGATTGAATCAGCCGAGAATGTATGTTAGCGCAGTTGGACTAGTAATAACATCATTTTTATTATAGACATAAGGTAATCGAATTCTGTATGTTTCTAATGAATTTTGCGATTTTTCTAGGTTTTTGTTAAGTTCAAAATTAGAAATTGGTCACATACAAAAGAAGGAATGTTTCTGAGTAATAAAAAATATGAAATATTTTCAAATATTTATATAGATGCTGAAAGGATAAAAAAAATTAGCATTCCGCGCTTATTGGGTACATACGTATTCAATATGACCTAAGTGTATATTTTCCTCTTACATAAAAATATGCAATACTTACTTATTTATAAGATTATAATATAAGTTTATTAATGTATATCTGCATGTTTATTGACATTAATATTTATGTATAGAGCAGGAGTATTATGAGTACTTTAAGGAATTTTGATATAGCCAGTATATCGAAAAATAAAAAAAAATTATGCATACCGTTTGATTTATTGATGTTTTATGAGATGCTGATAATGCACAACTATGCATATCTATCCGAAAAATTCCTGTGCCTAATAAATCAATAATGGTCTCGGGACTTTGTGAAGTTAGAATGGCTCAATATTGTTTACTTAACAAATATTAACATGCAGAACAGAATATCTTATCTCAATGTAGATTGGAAACCTTATAAAGTTAGAGGAAAAACGTAAGAAAAAAAAATAACGTATCTACTTATTTAATACGATAAAATCTGAAGTATATAAATTTAGATCAAACTTCGCAGCATATTGGAATGTCGCGAAGACAGATGCATTTTTTACAACAGTTGACACTACTACTAGTACTAATCGTTGTAGAAATATAAAGGGTGCTCATATTACTTGCAGTGCTCATAATATCCGATCTTACCCTACAGGATGTCTTACGTAAGACTGGCCACCCGAATAACGCCCACAGTTTTAAAGATAGTAAGAAATGCTTGAAATAAAGTTGTTCGGTATCGAAAGGAGCATCATGCGATGATGAACATTTTTTTTAAATGGAAGTGCTTAGAAGATTTAAAGATCACTTTCGTTTTTTTTAAATGGAATTAAATAGTTCCTCTTGATATCGAACAACTTTATTTCAACTTTATTTCTTTTTATCTCCAAAATTGTGGGTGTTATTAGGGTGGCTGGTCTTAGATGAAACATGCTGTATATAAGTGTATCCCAAAAGTTCGGCAACGGTTATAAATATAAATATAAATATCTCATAGAATATGAACTTCTTTAAAAAATGTTTTTCATAAAAGCTGTAGGTTTTAAGTGACGCATTAAATAGTAGTATTAATATGATCCTGCGTGGCGTCGCCACGGTCAGGTAAAGGTCATCTTAAATTTTTCAAATGGAATATCCTATTTCTTGTTTTACATTCTTGACGTTGAGATGTTTTCAAAACACTGGTTACTTTTTTATAAGAACTTTCCGAGTTATGGGATTCGAAACTTACAGTACCGCCGACATTAGCATTATCCGAGGACTGCGTGGAGGTGCTCAGTTGGATTTATACTGCTTGTGTGTGTGTGTGTGTGTGTGTGTGTGTGAGTGAGTGAGTGAGTGAGTGAGTGAGTGAGTGAGTGAGTGAGTGAGTGAGTGAGTGAGTGAGTGAGTGAGTGAGTGAGTGAGTGAGTGAGTGAGTGAGTGAGTGAGTGAGTGAGTGAGTGAGTGAGTGAGTGAGTGAGTGAGTGAGTGAATGAGTGAGTGAGCGAGTGTGTGTGTGTGTGTGTGTGTGTGTGTGTGTGTGTAAGTGTGTATAAGTGTGTATGAGTGTGTGAGTGAGTGAGTGAGTGAGTAAGTATGCGTGTGTGTGTGTGTCCGCATGCGTGCGCGCGTGCGTGCAAAATGTTCTACAATTTTTATGAATATTTGGCACATCGTTAAACCATTGATGGCCGTCAATTCAAACATCTAATAAGTTAAACAATCATCATTAATATAGAAAAGGTTTGGAATCTCTAGATACTACGAGAGTGATGATCCGCAGGATCCCTATCTCTCTCTCTCTCTCTCTCTCTCTCTCTCTCTCTCTCCCTCCCTCTCTCTCTCTCTCTCTCTTTCTCTATTCACATTACGCACGCACGCAAGCACGCACCAGAAGTGTAAATCGGACCAGACAATCTCGATGCGGTTCACCTTGAGTAATGCTTATGTCGGCGGTAATGTAAATTTCGAATATAACTCAATAGTTCTTATCAAAAAAAGGTTTGTAAAAAGTGTTTTGGACGTCTTAACGTCAGCTACAAGAATGTGGAATAAAAGAGTATTCCATTTGAAAGATTCAAAGTAATCTTTATCTAACTATGGCTCAAGGGACGTTCCGAACAACATTCAGGGAATAAAATATGTTATTAATATAGAATCATACTAATACTACTATTTAATATGTTATCTAAAACCCTACAGCTTTTGTATAAAATATTTTCAAGGAAATACATAGATATTTTACGAGACATTTAACCGAACTTTTGGGACACACTGTATATAAAATACATATTGTGTGGCTCCATCCAAGATCAAATTGATAAAGTTACTAAATAGATCATTTTCAACTCTACAACTTTTGCATGAAATATTTTTCTCAGAAATGCTTATTTCTCAACATATTTAAAGGATTCAGGACTTTTTATACACCCTCTATATAATATGTCCCATAATTCATCCAACAACGCTCATAAGCAGATAGAGCAAACTGAGTCGAAAAGTGCTTTTGCACAGCAAGAGACAAACAGCAAGAGACAAAAATTGTTTATTTTCTTCTCATAGAACTCTAAGAATTTTTTCAGAATTTTTTATCAACTTTTTAGTACTGCATTTTCTTATTTTTACCAACATGAGAA